AGAACGAATCTAGACCGATTTGCTCGACGGCACGCTCCCCCAAAAAAAAAGGCCAGCCGACAAAAGCCAAGAACAACAGAAAGATTCGCATGAGAAAGTTGGTATGCGCCACCAAACCCAAAGACAACACGGGTAAAAAAAAGAACACGGACGAAAGGCAACAACAACGGGAAGAGCGAATGTAAATCGGTTTGCTCGCACGGGACGCTTTTTTTGAAAAAAGACCACGGACAAAAGACCACAACAATAGGAAGAACGAATCTAGACCGGTTCGATCGCACGACACGGTAAAAAAAAAAAGAACAGGCAACACACCGCGACAAACGCACGAGCAAACAAAACAAACAACGATAGGAAACCAAAAGAATCAACAAAACCCAAAAAAAAAAAACCCACAAACCAATCATTTGGATGATGTGACTATAAGTAATAGTAACTCTTCTACTTGTTCTTTAATAAGAAGAACTTCTTCGAGTACTGTCATATGTTTACTGTTATGTTTGATTTGTGTTGAATTTTGCAGGCGCTAAACGTTTTCTTTTTCTGTGGCAAGAATTATGGTGCCGAGTTCAAGGTGTGGCAGACATAAGCAATGATGTGGTTTTCTCACCGATTTATTTGTTGTGGTTTCCTTAATGATTTATCAAGATTTTCAGCTATACTCCCCCGCTCGTGATGACATGTTAGCAGAGTGCAGCAAGTGACAACAACTCAATCTTCTTGACTAATAGGCTTGTTTTGTCAACTCTATTTTGGCCTAGTAGTTTAATTACATGTCTTCTAGTTCATATTTACTATAGTTGTATACCAGGTCGCTTCTCGCTGTTAAACAGTGGTGTTAGAGCGTGCCTTTCCCAAGTTTGCAAATTCATTCTAGCATTACTAGATTTATTTTCAATTTGAGACCTCCAGGGCGGTGACTTCCAATCTATTGTACTTGTACGAATGAGGGAAAAAACACCCATGTACTTATATGAATGTAGAATAACCACAATTAGATTTAGCAACATATAATATTTCAAGATTTGTTTATTTATTGAATTTCCAAAGTCTTTAGATTTACATAATGCGAAAAATCTGTTATAGAAACAACTGAGTAGTACATCAAAAGTTGTAGACACTCCTGAAAACACTTGAATATCACACTCCTATTTCAACAGAACCTTCTCGGGTGCCAAGTTCGCGAGTCTTTCCACTTTCTGGAAGTCTCATACTCCACTGAGAAATGAAACAAGCAGGCACAGTTTCGATTCAAAAGGAACAAGTTCCAACAATTCTTCGTCTCATTGTCATCTTCCAATTGAACAAGTTCAAGGTGTTTTTAAGATTTCCATCAGCTAGGAGTTGTATATGAAATTTAACAAAAAATTAAATCGATTACCATAGTTCAACACCTTACATAAGAACACCAGAGCAGTTCAAAATCAGTTCCTGCTTGTTATTAAGTAAAAAAACTAACAACTTACTCATGCTTCAATTAGATCCTGAGTGCTAATATTGACAACAGTGCATCCAATAGCCTTAGCTGAGTTGAAGCAAAGGATATGATTCTCATTTCTCTCCCACGGATTAAGTGCCTTTATGCATGAATTGCTCACTTGTCTTTGTGTTATGGACAACCACATTGATCTGCTTTGTGCCTTTGTCTATCTTGTAGGCTCTATAAGAAATCAGAGTTTACAATTTGGTAATGTCACCTTCAACTATAAAATAAGCGTATACTCCTAACTCACATTGTTAGATGATGTCTGTAAATCAGCTCCCACATAATAGATAAGGATTTCTTTGCTCTTTGATCCATCATTTCTCCATAAGAACTGAACTTAAAAGTATATAGCCAAATCCAAACATCACTGATATATCAGGAAAGTGACATAAAGAGATATAATAACAAACAAAAAAGAACGGAAGAATATTGGAATACCTTAGGGCTTGTTTGCTTGTTGGATTTGAAAATGAGGGTTTTGAGTTTTAAAAACCTTTAGATTTATGATGGATTTGTTGCATTATGGATTTGAAAGAGTTCATTGTTTGTTTGGTTAATTTTGATCATGGATTTATCATTGATTTGTCTCACGACTTTGTCTTCCATGATCAAATCCCAAATGAAATGTGAGATTTGCAAATCCGTGAGGTTGGATCTAAAAAAAGGTCCAAATCCGTGGCCTCCACAAATTTGTGTCCCTTAGCAAACAATGGAGTTGTCTCAAATCCATGATGTTTGGAATTTTGGTGTCAAATCCATTACCCAAATCCCACAAGCAAACGATACCTAAATTTTTCAAAACTTGGAGGGTCTCATTTCTTGTATTCCAAATTACAGAAACTTGTACTTTCACATGAAACAGGTTGAAAACAAGGCAATTCTTGCCTTATGTGCACTAGTTAATGTGATATCAGCCGCTTAATTCAGTAACCTGCACATATCGCAAGTCATTGGTTTCCTGATTATCATCATAAGGCAGAATCATCAACTGATCAGCAACACCTATTACCCATATCTTGGATACAAATACATCAGAACTGCTATTCATTTCCAGAATAATTCATAGATGTAAGCAAAACAAGTACTAAGAAATTATTCCTTGGAACCATCTCTCGGTAGTTGAACAACAGCACTGATTATAGGTTGCTGAGCTACAGAAACATGGTGGGACGAAGGGAATTCACAAAATCTCAACCCCAAACGGTGTGGCGAAAACATGGAAAAGTAAAGAGGGTGATTGCTGCAGAATTCCCAAGTGAATGAACCTTATAGTTGCTCATGCATACTAGTACTACTGGCCCATATTATTCTGCTACTCATGATCACTCACTATCTAGCCAAACACCGTGTTATGTGTTTCCGATTTTGCTACTACAACATGAACTCAACTATAACTTCTAACTTTCTTACCCACGCAATTTCAGGACAAAACCCCACCTCAGGCAGATAGCAGTACCCAAACGAAATCCATCTTCCCATAACACAGTGCTCTAGGCTCTTCATCATTTCACACAGCAAAATTCTAGGCTCTTCATCTCATCCAAATCTAAAGTGAAAATTCTTTCCTCCCATAAATAATTCCCCTGCAAAACTCAAGTACCGTAAAGCCCCATTTAGGCGCACAAACTGAAAATAACAATGCATTCATTTGTTTAATTGAATTCAAACTAATATTACCTTGCAGTTCAGTTCCCCTTAGTAGCCTCGCGAGTCCTGCATCACCGCAACCCGCCTGACTTCCATCCTGAACCTGTTCAGAAGCCTCTCCGCCGGCTCGTTCTCGCCCACCACTACCTGGATATTGAAAGACGAGTTGAAGCAAACGATGCTTTGGGGAGCCACCTTAGCCAGCTCGCTGATAGGGAATCGCCGCGGCGCAACCAGCAAAGTGGGGGAGGAGAAGGTGGAATGGAAGAAGGAGACGTCAGATAGTGGCGAAATGGAGAACGAAGGCAAGAGAAAGGAAGGAGAGCAAGTTTGGAGAGAGCAAGCGGAGATTGATACAATTGGAATTGCTGGAGTTTTGCGTGCATAGCTTGACGAGGTTCTTAGTGAAATTTTAGATTAAGGAGTCTTTTCTTCGGTCGGTTCGGTTGCGAGTAATTGAACCTGGTTTGGCTTTGCTATGTCTGGGTTTTAGTAATCAATCCACGACACATCAACTCATACGTGGACCAATAGGAAATAGCTGCACCATAGTATTGGCCCAAGAATGAAATCTATTTTTGAGCTGGGCCTAGAATCTGGGCCTTATCGTAGAAGATCTACCCGAGCCCAAGCCCGTCAGACCCTTGAGCGAGGAGTCAGGACTCCAACCGGGTCAAGTTAGCAGTACCCGATGTAAGTTCGGCGGCAGACGAAAAGATAGATCCAGTTGCTTCTTCTTTTTTATTTTTTAAATTTTCATTTTAGGAGCTTCTGACCTGTAAAAATGGTGGGAAAAGAGTGGACCCCAAATCACAAATTGGCTTATATTGGTGGGAACCGGGAAACTTTTTGGCGGAGGGAGGGAAGGGAAGAAGATTTTTCCTTTCTTGTTTTTGGTTTCTGGGGCTTCCAATTCAATTTTTTGGTTTCTTTGGCGTACCCAGAAAAAGAAAATTTCTTAAAACAATTCGAGTTTTACCCTCCTCTGTAAACTCAACAGTGATAGCACTGTAGAGAGGTGACAGACAGAGCCAGGCCGCAGCAGCAGAGAGAGAGGCAGACCACAGAGAGAGAAAGAAAGGAAAAGAAGTGAAATGGGGCTCAGAATTAAAGTGTTCCCTTCCCTCCCCCAAATAAACTAAAGAGGAGAGAGAAAGAAACAGATAGGGACTGGAGATAGAAAGAGAAGTAAAGAGAGAGAGGGGAGGAGGAGGGGACACTTTATTTGCCTTTTTCATGATGCACGCATCCATGGCAGAACAGAGAAGGGTACACAGTACTGCTGCTGCGACATAACACAAGTTTTTTTCCCCCTTCTCCTTTTCCTTTGCAAAGAAAAAAAAGAAGATATTTCAATTGTTAAAGAAAACACAAGGAGGAAAAGAAAGAAGCAACAGCCCACAGATTGCGCACAGAGGAGAGAGATAGAGAGAAAGGAAGAGAAGCCATGAAGGAGGTGGAATGAAGGTATGAAGATGTTGTTGGGGAAGGAGGAGTATGGAGCTGATCAAGAAGGTTGTGTTGATGAAGGAAAAAAATGGCTGAAAGTGGTAGCAGAGGAAGAAGGATAGAGCTTCCAAAGATGAGAGCTTGATGGCATGCAAGGAGAGATAGAGAAACAACTAGGAAAGAAGAAAGAAAGCTGCTTCCTTTTCTTTTTGGTGTTTTCTCCAAATCTGAGCACAACCCATCTTCACCCCCTCCACAAATCTTGCTTCTTCTCCCTCTAAAACAAACAAAAACAGCTTCCTTGAAGTTTTTGTTTTTTGTTTTCTTCTTCTTCTTTCCCCTGTTCTTTTTTTTCCTTCTTTTTGGTGGGTTGCTGAGGGTTGTTATTTTGACTGGCTGTGGTAAATATATGAGAGGGATGCCCTTCCAATTGCAGGGGAAGGGGGGTTTAGATATTGCAGCTGCAGCTGGTTTCGCAACGATTTGCTCTTCTCAGCAAGAAGCTTGGAAGCTGCTTGAACAGAGTCAAGAGGAGGAGAAAGTTCATAGCTTTGGAAGCACAGAGCCCACCTCAGTTCTTCATATGAGAAGGAGTCCAAGCCCACCCACATCGGCTTCCACTCTTTCCTCCTCCTTCAACAACGGCGGCGGCGGTGGGGACAACACTGCCACCGCCACTCCGACTGCCGGCGAAAAGGCCTCTGAGTGGGCTAATGAGCTGCAGCCAATCCCAGCGGGACTCGAGATTGTTTCTTCCAGATGCGGTCTAGGGTTGGACGATTGGGAGAACATGTTGTCGGAGCCCACTCAGGAACAGTCCCTACTCCGGTGGATCTCCGGCGAGGTCGACGACTCCTCGTTTGGTCTCAAGCAACTCCTCCAGAACAACAACAGCAACAACAATCCGTTGGATTTCGACGGCAATGGCGGCAGCGGTGGTGCTGGAGGATTAGGGATGGTTGAACACCGAAATGGGTTTGATTCAATTGGGGGAATTGGAGCTGGGGTTTCCAGCATTGGTCCCAATTTGGGTGCTTTCCCTGCTTCAGGGTTTGTCGGAGCTCATGGGAATGGCAGAACTGCTGGTGGCTTGGTGTCTCCCAGCTCTTCTTCTTCATCTGGGTTGGTTCATTTCAAACCTAATAATAGTAGCGTCGGTAATGATCTTCCTTCTACTATGCAATATCATCACCCACAGCAGCAGGAGGAGAAGCCACATGTTCTGAACCCTATGATGAATCAACACCAACTGAATTCTCCTCAAGCTCCAAGCTTTTTCCTGCCTCTGCCGTTTGAGAATAATCATCAGCTTCCTCACCCCAAGAGGCAGAATTCTGGTGGTAGGATGGAACCCATTTCTCAAATGATGCCAAAGCTGCCGTTTTCAGATCCTGGGCATCATGAATTGTTTCTCAGGAAGCAACAGCAGCAGCAGCAGCAACAACATCATCTCCAGCAGCAGCAGCATTTCGGATTTCCTCCAGGGCTTCCTCCATTTCTCCAACAACATCACCAGGGCATTCAGCAGAACACCCTGGTGGGGAAGAAGGAAGACCCCGGTGGAGGGCAGCAGCACGAATTGCTTGACCAGCTCTACAAGGCAGCAGAGATGGTAGGGACAGGGAACTTCACTCACGCGCAAGGGATATTGGCGCGGCTCAATCAACACCAACAGCTCTCCCCAATTGGGAAGCCTCTCTATAGGGCAGCTTTCTACTTCAAGGAGGCTCTCCAGCTTTCACTCGGTCACAACAACGTTAACAACAACCTGGTCACCAGCCATCCTATCATGCCTCGAACCCCAACCCCAT